GAGAAGCCTTCCCCCGCCGTTCGCCGGATTTTTTTTGAATTTTCCGGCAAATACCCAAAGCTGCCCGAATTTTTGCCCGAATTACCCGAATTTTTTGTGACCGTTGCCCGAATTTTGGTGACCGTTGCCCGAATTTCGCCCCATGCCCGAAAAATGCCCGATTTTTTTTTACCGTTAGCCCGAAATGCCCGAATTTTGAAAAAAAAAATGGTCTTTTGCCCGAACCCGAACCCGAATTTTTGAACCAAACGGTCAGATTTTTATTTGTTGCCCGAACTGCCCGAATTTTGCCCGACTTGCCCGAAAATTTTGTAGCCGTTGGACCCGAATTTTTGGGGGAAAATTTTTTTTTTTCAACCCAAAAATTTTCCTATAAATACCCCCCTCCCCCCAACCATTTTCCTCACCCCAAAACTCTCATTCTCTCTCAATTTCTCTTAATCTCTCTCAATTTCTCTTAATCTCTCTCAAATCTCTCTTAATCTCGCTTAAATCTCTCTCGAATCTCGATCTCTCTTAAGCTCTCTCAAAGCGCTCTCAATCTCTCTTATTTTTCATAATGGCTTCTTCTGGTTATGGTGGTGGTGGTGATATTCCTATTGATGCCCAATTCAACATCGAAGAAGGGTAATTTCCTAATGATTTTCAATCGCAGGAATCGCAAACTATGGAAAGAGATGCTGATCAAACTGCAAATCCGACCCCTGGTGGACGTACTAGAGGTCGGGGACGCAATGGTGGTGGCACAAGTGGCCGTGGAGGAGAGGCAAGCGGTAGTGCTAGTGCAAGTGTTGCAAGTTCTAAGAAGAAATGCAAGCGCACCTCAGCAGTTTGGGAGCACTTCAACACATTCGATGAGGTCGACAATAACGTAACATTAAATACATAGCTCAATGTAAATATTGTGGTGAGAAATTACAAGGTAACACTATTCACGGCACTATACACTTAAGAAGACACTCTGAAAAGTGTTTTCAAAAGCAAGGAGGCGGAGCTGATCTCTGCCAAACGCAATTATCGTTTGACTGCCAAACCGGCAGTCTAAGCACGTGGAAATACAATCCGCAAGTTGATCGTATGAAAATGGCACGATTAATAGTCACATTAGATCAACCACTAAGTTTTCCTGAACAAAGAAATTGGCAACGTTATATTAAAATTGTACATAATCCTAATGCACAATTTTTTCTAGAACTACTCTTAGGAAAGATGCATTAAAATTATATAAACAAGAAAA